TATTATGCAATGTTTCGAAGTGTGCTCTTTCAAAAAAGTTTCTGCAACTTTTATTATTATTATTATTATGAAAGCAATATTCAAACATTGTGGCAGTTATTTCTTTTGAATAAATCAAATAATAATACATATAAGAATGCATATAATAATTAATATAAATATAAATAAAGCCAAACAAAGTAGTTTCGCTTTCACAACGAAACACAGCGTCGCACGCGGCAGCGGCCTAGAGTAAGCAGAGGCCGGAGGCCTAGAGTGAGGAACGGCCGGCGGGCTAGAGTGAACGGAGGCCGGTGGGCTTGAGAACGGCGCGGCCGGCGGATTCGATGAAGGAGCGGCCGGCGGGCGTGCGGCAACCACATGTGACGACCCCGGGCTGGACTCCGCTTCTTATAAAGAATATCTCTTTGGATTTGAGACTTTAGTCTTTGCAACTTTACAGATCTTCTTTATGCACCAAGAGCTTGTAACACTTCAAAGAGAAAGGAAAAATTGAAATCGCATCATATGACCCCTTTAAAGTTTTATTGTTGACATTTCTGAATAAACCATTTTTTGCCGTTCATTTTTGATGAATGATCTGAGTAGACTGGGGAGGCAGCTTTGGATTGTGATCATTACAGTACAGTACAGTATTACACATACTACATCAAACAACTTCAAAAGAAAAGAACACATAAAAAAAGTGTTTTATGAACATCTTGTACACACTTTTCCTCTCATTCCTAGCGTTTACTGTATGACAAATCCACCGAGATCTCAAGTTTCCTCGAATGCCACCTGAAGACAGATGCAAACAAATAGTAAAACAGCCTACAAAATTTGTTTATATCCTGGTGATGACGTTCCTCATTTTGGTTAGTGAAATGTTACCCTGCTCCCCGAGTCGCCCACATCCATTGTTCAAATGCTGGATATACTCATTAGAGGGGAGATGTTTCCTCTTTTTCATCTTTCTTTCTTTTCTTTTTTTTTTTTTAAGTAATGCCGAGAGACACTGATCTTCTGCGGATTTAATTGCTCATGTGTTGGCCGATGTTCAAGGATTTACTGGGAACAAATGAAGCAGATACATGCAGGGCCACAAAATGAAAGAGCTTTGCATCTTTTTCGTTTGTTTGCTCTTTTGGGTTTATTATTAATGTGGATTCCAGCAACGACGTACGGGGCGGCCGTTATAAACGCACTCCCTTGACAGCGGCGCATTTAGCTAATGCTGATATGATATTTGCATACGGTGTACAAATACAGTGCTTTCCAAACAACAGTACATTCAACAGGAGGACAATGTATTGTAACAATTGTAAAAACAACAAATCCATCTTTATTTATACAAACTACAAGTAATATGGTATTAGGTAATAATAATAATAAATGAATACATAGCCTACATACACATATATATATATTAGGGGTGGAATGATACATGTATTCGTACCGAACCGTCACGGTACGGACATCTCGGTTCGGTGCATGAGGCCTTACAACGAATACAGGCAATTCACCCCCAATCCAGAAGGGGGCGCCTGCAGCAATGCAACGCTGTTTGATAACCGGCCGCCAGCAGAAGGACAGAGAATGCCATGAGTTGCGCACTTGAAAACAAAGCCCACTAGACAGTGACCATGTGCTGATTCTAAATGCGTCTCTCACAGACTGACAAAGGAGTAAACTTTAAAGGCTTGTGCACTCAACTGTTTGCGAAATGGAGCTTTGTGCTCGTGTATTCTACCTTTAAACACTTATTGTCTTATTAATAATGCATCACTGTATAAATGTCTGCTTTTATTTGTGTACACTCACAATGAAAACAAAACATTGTGCTTTTGTAAAATAAAGAAAACAAATAGGATGTCGTTTTCTGGCATTTGAGTTTCCTTTCTGTGAACAAATTAAGCCTGTCACAATAATGAATTGAAACTCAGCGTATATAGGCTACGTTACGTGTCGCACTGTTTTTTTCTCTTGTTTATCTGTAAACTAAATTAAATATATTTCAAGAATTTATTCCTTGTAGGTATATATGTACTGCAGATTTTATATAAATATATAACCTAATGTAATAATATTTCGTATTTTTACATCTAGGTGGAATTTTTTTAAATTTGTTCTACTGTCTGTTCAAAATAAATGAAAATAAACCGAGCATAGCAGATTCGTTTTTTTCCCCCTGTTGTACCGAAATCGTATCGAACCGTGACAATTCCAGGTGTGAAAAACTTGTTGCATCAAAAAGACTCATGGCTGTATTAGATCAAATGGGTGCTTCTACTAAATACTGAGCATTTTTCAGTTTTTCTTTTTTAATAAATCTGCAAAGATGTCAACAATTCTGTGTTTTTCTATATATATGGGGTGCTGTGTGTACATTAATGAGGAAAAAAAATTAACTTAAATGATTTTAGCAAATGGCTGCAATATAACAAAGAGTGAAAAATTTAAGGGGGTCTGAATACTTTCCGTACCCACTGTATATATATATACACACACAAATACATAGTATATATAATCTTATATGAAAATGTTAATATAATACAATATTAATACTACGGTAATATAAAGTTAAAATTAGCATTTATATTTTAATTATTATAACAATAATAAATATTACATCTCTACAAATATATAATATTTAAAATATAAATAAATATAAGCAACATGCAAATATGGTGACAATTTCCCTTTTTAAATAAATTAATAAATATAAAAGCAAATAATAATAAAAATATATAGAATTGTATTAGTGTTTATTATTATTACTATTATTATTATTTATTTGTTTATTTTGTAGGAAATGACAGTCCATAATCTATATATCATTTCAAAATAATCAGAATACTAAAACTTTCAGTTTATTTCCAGGTTCAAACCCCACTAAAATAGCCACTATATATCAATGTACCATGGTATTAACCTCACTGTACCATGAAATGGCCCAAATACTTTTTATCAAGGTAATAAGGTATAAAATAAACTAATATAGCTATATTATATTTTTTATCAGTATCAATGAAAGAATAAAGTGACCTCTTGAAATGTCTAGGAGCGACAGAGGCACAAATAAAGATAAAGAGGTGAGAGACAGCTATGATGCCCTCTTCATCTTGTTTTCTCCTCCTTCACTGTGAAAGGATGATTAACCGCTTCTGTCCTGCCACTGGCTTTTTTCGTCTTCAAATTGTTGGAGCACTTGCTAGCGCCGTGTAATGAGCTCTCACACGCCTCTCAGGTGTGTGTGTGTGTGTGTGTGTGCTGTTTCTCCACACATTAATCATTGTTCTTTAAATAACGCCGCTTGCAACCAATGCACCCCTGTGTCCTGAAGGAGGCTCTGTCTGATTTGCCTGTCAACAAAACCATCAACTTAATTCTAGTATGCAAGTTTCCTAATTCACAATAGTTAATAATAAATAAATAAAATATCAAATAACAATGTATAAAGGAAATGTAGATAAAGTTATATCAAATATATAGAAATTATTTATGTAAATTATATTAACAATACTTAAAAAGCCCCATGAAAGGGCTTGACGAGCAGTTACTTTGAGTTGAGTTACAACATCTCTAAATTATCATGTTACCAAATCACAATGGTGAAAATATATAAATAAAAAAAACTATAAAATATATAAATAATATAAATAATTTTTATAAAGCCCCATTAAAGCCAGCTTTCTTCAGAAAGTTTGAATAAGAAAAACAATTACATTAATATATAAATATATTTGTAATTAATTATTAATAAATGTATAA